CGATCTTTTATTTTTTACGATCCACTGAAATATAGTTTTACTTGCTTTTTTGTATCGCTAAATCTACAAGTTCACTATTTTTATATTACGCCTAATTGTAGCTACGATTTCGTTTTCAGGCATTTCTCTTTGCAATAAGCGTATGATTTTTTCATGCACTGATTGAATTAGAGTCGCAAAAATGTTATTTCCTTATAAATGGTCTCTATCTTCCATGTCTATAATGATAAGAAAAAAGACAAACACATTATTCTTACCAACAATGCGCAACTGGGTTTGCTTAATCAATCGTGTTTTGTTTTTATCCGTTATTCATTATTATTACCGTCGTCGTGTTATATCGTGCTATATCAAATTGTTTATTGGCACTGTTTATTGGACGATTATGGACATGGAAGAGCGTAACATTTTTGCGAATTTAAAGCCATCAACGCGTGGAAGGATTATAGGATTATGGCAAGCAGGAATGTCTAAAAACATAATTGCGGCTACGATCGGATGTAATATAAAAACAGTGTGTTTGTGGATTCGTCGATACGAAGAAGGAGGAAATCCTGCTTTGGCGGATCATCGAAAAAACAATAAAAGACCAAAAATTACAACTGTCGAAGAGGACTTACATCTCTATAATTACATTGAAGAGGACCCTTTTTCAACAATAAATACAGCGATCACAGAAACGGAACTACCGATTTCAGTAAGCACCGGTCGCCGACGATTAAAAGAAGCTGGAATTGTAGCTTGTCGTCCAAAAAGGAAGCCAAGTTTTACCGACGCTCATCGTCAAGAGCGACTCAATTTTGCAAGAGAACATTTGAATTGGACTCCTAATGATTGGGCAAAAATTATATGGTCTGACGAAAAGGTATCTATACTTTCCTGGAATTTAAAAAAATATTAAGAATTTTTGTGATACATTTTTGTTATAACTTGAATAATATTTATTAAAGAATAGAAAAAATTATCTTATATATTTGTTACATTGTTTAAAACTAGTTATATTATTGTATTATAATATTCTTACATCTAGTGTGTTTATATATAATATGCTATATAATATGAAATATAATATACTATATAATACTAGGTTTTTACATCTTCCGCCGATGGACGGCAACACGTTTATCGTCGCCGAGGCCGTGACGTGGCATTACAGCCTCAATATGTTATTCAAAAAAGTTGGAGTGGCCGGATAACGTGCGGATATTGGGGTTGCATGTCGACTGCTGGTGTTATGGAGTTTGAGGAGATCCCTCCGCGGATGAACGCTGCATATTACATTCATATTTTAGAAAATGTAATGTTGCCGAGTGCGAGGCAACGATTTCCCGCAGAGGAATACGACGTCCTACATTTCATGCAGGATAACAGCGCTGTCCATACAGCGAATATTGTTCGTCAATGGTTCGAGGAACATCCGGAAGTAATTCTTCTCAGGTGGCCGAGTAAATCACCAGATTTAAATCCTATCGAGAACATCTGGAGTAAGTTCTTATTTTTTCTCCTCTTATCCTTCCTTGTAATGGATGTTATAATAATAGAATGTTAATATAATAAAAAGAATTTGAGAATTTTGTATTTTATTGAATAAGAGTTTTAATAACGATATTGATTATGATCAGAATAAACTGAAAACATGTAAATTATAAAAAATTTGAACAAAAATGAATAAATAACAAATATTAATATTCTAATATAAATTATAATAATAGTATTAATTATTTAATAATAAATAATTATAATTAGTTTGTAATTACATTAATATTGATATTAATATTATTTATTTTTATAATAAATGCAAGGTTTTTGAAAGATTTTTACTACATTCAGTTATATAAAGCTATTTTCAAAAATAAAATTCTCTTTTATAGGAAAATAAAAATATACATTGACAAACCTCAAATTCTGAGAATTATATCTTAATGAGTACTTTAATAGCTACTTAATATGAAAAATATGAATAAATTATTATTATATTTAATTACCTTAAAACATATAACACTGCAAATTTAATTACCGGAGAATGTGATTGATTTTTAACAGGTGTCATGGTCAAAGGTTGGGTATCTGGTCAGGACCGAACTCGAGATGATCTCATAGCCCATGCTCGTGCCACCTGGGAAAATTTACGTACTCGACCAGAACTTATAAGTGCTGTCTGTAATTCGATGCCAATTAGAATGCAAAAAATTATACGCAACGAAGGCTATTGGATCGATTATTAGGTGAGCAAGATATGTGTATACGTGTGTGTGTGTGTGTGTGTGTGTGTGTCTGCATGTATATTAGGGTGTCATTTTAGAGCAACTTTTTATTTTATTTTACGAATATCATATATACTTGCATGAAGGTAAAATATAAAATACCTGTAAATGGCGTTTCCTAGGTGAACGAAACTCTACTTGCGAGGGGGACATGGATTCTGACAGCTGCTTGTTGACCTGCACCGTTGCCGTGGAATGGTTAAACGCGCAAGGATCCATCCTGAGGAAGGCGACTCACCTCGACGGCATTTGCGCCTGATTTGAGACAATCAGCGCAAACTGCTGGTCGAGGTACGCGCCGAGAAGGCGAACGCGCTCACGAAGCTACCCCTAAGAAGTATATCGGTATTCAATAAATTCATGACCGAGGGGAAGGCGTCCATCAAGTTTAAAGAACAAAACTGCACGTTGTTCCTGTCAAACGCACACTCCTCCCAGCTGATAAATTTCCTGAAGACTATATTCGTCAAGCTGACGGGCCAGGAAGTACAGGTCCCGAAGGATCTCTTGCGGGAGAAGCTCTTTGCGAATGTGCAACCGGGCGGCGGTGGCGAGGACATCAGTCCAGCTACAAGCACAGAGGTCAACAGAGCGAAGGAGAAAGCTATGGCTGCGTCACGCGCGACGGTCACCACTCCGTCGCCGGGCGTGGTCAGGAAGCGGAAGCATTTCAGCGACAATGGCCCTAAGGTACCCGCGGCAAAGAAGCTGTACGAGAATCCTACCGCGGGAGAGTTGACTGAGGAGCAAACGCGAATTCTGAACGCGGTACTCAGCGAGAAGAACGTGTTTTTCACCGGTAGCGCAGGCACTGATAAGTCGTATCTACTGAGAAAGATATTATTAATAATCGTTCTATTTATATTAATAATCGTTATAAAAAATAGTATTACGATAGAATAGTATTACATTGCGGTATATCTTCGAATAGGCCACACGTCTCCGTTATTACCATAGATAATTTATTAAGTGGACATCGGTCAACTGGAACAGGAATTCTACATGGTTCTTTACCTTCCATGTATATACATTTATTTTGCGTATAGTGCAATTCCTTTTCGTGATTTGTCATGTTTGTCACGTCCAGTACGAGATAAAATTGCAATGGTCTAAAAATTGCTAGCGAAAGAATTTTTATAGATAAAATATGTGCGATAACATATGAGATACAAGTTGTATAAATAAATACTATTTTACGAAATATTTGCGTTTTCGTGACTTACGTTTCAGCCGGCAACACATCCCAATTAGTAATCTGCACACTGGGTAGCATCTCAATGGTTATAAAAAACAGATGAAATTCTGCAGTATCCAGTTACCAAGCCTCCACCTCCTGAATATTTTATTCTCAATTGACCTTCGATAATATTAGACATCTGCAAAGGTACCGCAAGTTTCGACAAACGCGTGCTTGCTACAGAAGAGTGGCCGAGTGCGAACTTATTCCCGATCTGAAGGAAGAGGTCAGCTCGGATTGTCTTTTCGTATTAGACGGAGAACTAAGCCTAGATGGTAAAGAACTGTGGGCTGAATGTGATATTAAACTACTTGGTTGACTAAGACAGTGACATCTGAAAATAAATTGTAAATTTAGCAAAGAGGAAAAATTAATAATATTTCAAAATTATGTTAACATAATAATATGATTAACGATTATATTACAATTTCTAATCAAAGGCGCTATAAAATCCGTCGCTGCGTACAGATATAAAGTAAGACTCGCACTGCTGCCAGGTTGTGAAGGCAATTGCGTTATTAGATTCTCATCGCTCCATTTGAAAATTTTACTCTCAGTTACAGCATCAAGAGTGGACTGTACTGATAAATCGACCATTTCAATAGGAACTTGACCGGCGTTCGTTATCGTCACGGTACACTCGGGGCTGCAAATGTAAGCGAAACCATTTTACACGAAAATAATATTGAGGGAAAAAAATTGTTAATGCTAACAGTAGACACAAACCTCTCACCGCCATAGACAGATATACTCGCGCTGGTAATTATATTGTCGCCGGAACTGAAACTAGCAGTTTGAGGCAAACTAGTTGCGACATCAATTCTTGGTAAGACTGGAATGACTTCGACCGTATATTGAGGATGTAACATACCCTCCATGTATCTCAATCTACAGTTAGATTTAACTCCTAATGTATGCGTGCTGAATCCGAGTATTTCTAAATCACCAACTTCCTTGGGTCTGCCTGCTAACGTAACCGCAATCGGACCAGACTCAGCAGGCAGGCTAATACTTTCTGGTATCGATTCAAATACTACACCGTTTGTCAAAAGTCTCATGTTAGACACGTGCAATTCAAATGGTAAAGGATTTATGAGCAGCATTGACATCTCACAGATATCTCCTTCCACCCACAAATAATCTGTTGGAAAAAGTTTATCTTCAATGATATTACACTTTTATTGATGGTGATAATAAAACATCTAGGTATGCACGTTTTACGCGCGTAATAGGCCACTTTACACGCACTTGTAATATAAATAAAATAGGGTATGTTACACGTGCGGTAAGTTGAAAATTGCGGGTGCGGGTGGTCGCACTCGCCTTCGGCTCGTGCGTCCACTCCGCACCCGCAATTTCCATCTTACCTCACTTGTTACACAAATAACTATTATTAAATG